GCCATGTGTCAGAATAGACTTGAAGGCAGTTAACAACAACAACAAACAATTTATCAGGTCAGATAATCTCTGGTGCAGTAAAATAATCTCTGTACTACTAACTGAGAGGTCAGCAATTCAAACCTACCAGCTGCTCCACAGGAGAATGATGAGGCTTTCTCTTCTGGTAAATGAGCTTCACAAATGAGTCAGAATTAATTTTAAGTCAGTGGTTCTGGTTTTGGTTGCTTTGGATGCATTGTAACAGAGATTGTTTTACCTCAGACCTTGTGTTCTTATAGAAAATAATTTATGGCTAGTCAGTTTTGAGAAGCAGAAATCACAGGGTTTGACTGAAAATGTAAGACATGCTTTTAGTGACTTTGTTCCTAAAACAAACAGACTGACTCTGGAACCCCGTATGTGATCTAATGCTAACTTAGAGAAACTAACATGACAATGACATGTGGTATTGGTGTGCCTGGAGTCTGTTCCACCTAGGGTTTCTGAGGCTGTAAATGTTTATAGGAGTTAAAAGGAAGCAGAAACCTCATCTTTCTCTTGCAGAACAGCTGATAGTTTTGAATTGCCATCCTAAAGGTTAGCAACTTGGCTCATATACTACACTATACTACATGAGCTCCTTAGGTAATCTTTTTTCACTATCCCCTTATGGAAGTGCGTTTCTATATTTTTGGATTGATGCATCCTGATTTGAGTTGTATTTACTCACAATAAATATAACCTGTTACATTAATTTCTAGAGTTTTTCTGTGCATTTAAGTTTTCTGACAAACTGAACCGAGGTAGAAATGGAAGGAAAGAATTGGGTAATGTGAGTGTAGATAAAACTCTAGGAAAACTCAGATACTGTAAGAGAAAAATTACTTGGTAGCTCATGATATAAGATTAGTATTACATTGATAGCTGATAACAAAGTATTTACCAAAAGAAAGGAAAGCCCTATTGAAATTACACTCCTTCAAAATTACTAACAGAATTTAAAAAGACTCTAATTTGGGAAAGAATTAAAAAAAGGATAATGTTTTAAGCCAAACTTAGTCTTCCTCCTGGAAGGATTGATTCTTTCTTCGTATACCTATGGATTCACTTCCATTCTTCATGCTGGTACACTTACAAGTGAACTGATCAGTGACATTTCTTTTCTAAAATTGCAACACTTTCAAATTTCCTTTTTCTTTATCCTGATGTCCTATATTTTCCATAAAACTTATCACAATCCATTGTTTCTGACAACATTAGATTAGGCTTCTTTGGGAAGCAGAGATTAGCATGATAAAGGTTTATGAGGATCTGTTCCTGGGATCAACACCATGAAAGAAAAAGGAAGGGAGCAGGACTTGGAAGAGGGGAAATCTGAGGTGTGATAGAGTCCCATGGTCAGCCTCCACAGGCATTCTCTGGACATTTTGGAACAGAAAGAGGCAGGAAATTGGGAGGAAAAAGTAAAAGCATTTCTGTTCATCTAAAAAGGCACCAAAGGATATGTAAAACACGAAGAAATTTGTGGTGCATATAATTGACAAAGTCTTGGCATCCTCATTAAATAAAGAAAATTTATGAATTAAGGAGAAAAGATAAACTACTCAGTAGTAATACCATTAGCAGATAATTCACAGAAGAGGGAAGAAGATGGCACATAATATGAGTATATTATCCTCATAATAATGATAATATTAATTAATTAAGTAGACATAATTTTTATTGTTAAAATAGATACCATGAAACGTATGCCAATTCTTAGAAAAAATTCATACTTGAAAGATTGTAAGACTTAATGAAAATGTGTTGAATATTATTTGGATACAATAGACATCCAATGAGAATGTGAATTAGTTCACCAACATAAGAGCTCTTTGGAACTACCCAAAGATAATAAGGGCTTCTCTATACCCAATCATCTACACTTCCTTTTTTTTTCCATTTTAAAAGCCTTACTCATTTTAACTATGAAACATTTATAAAAATATTGAAACAGCCTTTTTCAGAATAGTAGAATTTACATAGAAAACATTCCAAAAACAGAAAAAAGGAACTGTGATATTACTATAAATGGTATAAAAACATTGAACATAAATGAGGTCATGCTACACCCAACAACAGATTTGAATCTCTAGAGCACAGTGATAGAGTGAAAAACAAAACATAACAAAACAAGATAGCACAAAACAAAAACATTAAACTGAGACAAAATTTTATTTTGAGTAATCACATCATTCTACAGGGGAACAACAACAACAAAGCCTCTTCAAAAATGGTACTGAGATCATGGGATAGCCATAAACAAAATAATAAAAGTTGATCATTACCTTATACCATAGAGGGAAGCAGAAAAGCAAATATTGGCTTGGGAAACAGTTTGTTAAACACGACACCAAAAGTACAGGTAACAACATTCATCCTTTTATCATACCATATAATAGTCACAGGTTTCAGGGACTGGAATATCTTTCACAGGCATCATTTAACCTAAAAGTTAAGGATTGCCTTCATAGGACTCAGTAAGAAGAATAACCCAGAATAAAACAGCAAGTGTGGACATCATGTGTGTATATGACGGCATCTGCTGCAGCAATCAGGAGACCATGAGGGGAACAAATCTATGAAGA